AATAGGGTAGATGCCTAATTTTTATTTTAATGTCCGTCTGGTAGATTATTTTAAATCATTAGACACGTATTTTTTATTTTCTTACAGAAACGAATACTTTCGACGATATATTGATTTGAAATGTCGCGTGACGTCACTTCTATGTACATTTTATACGTAGAAATGACGTTTTAGCCCCCACTACTAAATTTTGATTCGTTTTATCTAAGTATTGTTTTATTATACGACAAAATAAAAAAATACGTGTCTAATATTTTTTAATTACCTAACTTACGGACTACCTAATTAGATTTTTAATTCTCATACCCTGTCGTCATCCCAATTTGGCAGTAGAGAGAATCGAACGTGTCTACTCGGTAAAAGATTTAGGGGTATTGTTCTATTGTTCGACCCTCGATTAACTTTTCATGACCGTATGAGCGGTTACTAGAGTCTCTTATCGGCAGTCAGGGTGCTTACTCTTGAAACCAATCTCAATGTCATTGCAATTTCAATCCAATAAAATCTCAATAATAATTCAATGTCAACACTATACAACCCTTATCGTAGCTGTTAAAGTAGCATTCAGAACAGGGAATATTATAGCCAAACTCAATACTATTTAGTTCATGAAAAATCCACACAATACGGATGCAATGGGCGCTAGTGTAGCAACTCATGAGTACTAAATTTCACAACGTCAATGTCAATGAGTTGGATTCAAGAGTAAGCCCCCAGATTTGCGATTCGCAATAATATGTGCGAATTTGATAATATAATATTATAACAGCTATGAAATTGGTATAGATACCAATGTACCTGGTTAGAAGGAAGCTAGAATCTGCATCTCTGGTATGGAATCCGCATGAGGTTACTTATGCTCTCATGCTTGAAGAGCTGCAATAAGCGATATTAAAGTCAGTCACAATCATTTATTTCAATTAGACCAGAAAGGCACTTTTGAACGTCAACAAATCTATTCTTATGCCTAGTTTGATAGTGGTATCTGTCCGACACTTTACAAAACAACTGTAGGTTTTTCCTAACATTTACCTACCTTGCATGATGTGTTCATAGATAAATTGACATGGAACGGTCATAATGTTATCTCCTTAAACGTTTCCTTGAGAGATTCGCGACGACCTAGATTATAGATAGCTCTGACGGCGCGCTTTTGTAAGATAAAGATAGAAGATATTAAGGTACAGTTTGGCTATTACCCTTTTCTATACCCCACTAAGTTTCTGTTAGGCATGGTACGGTTAAACATCGTACCTTAACGTCGTGGTGGCCCGGAGGTTTAAGACGCCCGTCTCGCATGCATGAGAGTGAGAGTTCGAAACCTACCAACGACAATTACCAATGTGACTTTTTCCGAGTTATATGTACTTTCTAAGATTATCTAGACACCATTGACAAACGGTGAAGGAAAATATCGTGAGGAAACCTGGGCTTATAATTTCTAATTATAAGTTTGTCAATCGCCAACCCGCATTGAGCAAGCGTGGTGATTATTAATGCTCAAACCTTCTCCGAGTGAGACGAGGTTTTGCTCAGCAGTAGGCATTTATAGGCTGTTGATGTGATGGTACGGTTTAACTCTCTTGAGGTGAGGCGTAATTACTCCTTAATGATCAGGAGTTGCTTACAACTGCAGCGTGTTAACGCTGCGAGGTGAGTCTGACTGTCCAGAGATCGTAAGTCAGGTGGTGCGGTTATCAGTACCGAGGCTGCTCACACACCAGAAGCACGTACACTGGACCATGCAAATTCTCCGCTGGTCCGAGTACTCACCATGCTCAATTCTCTCCTGTGGGCTTACTCTCGAATCCAATTCCGATCAATCGACATTGATATTGTGAAATTTCCTACTCTTGAGTTCCAACACTAGCGCCCATTGCATCCGTATTGCGTGGATATTTAATGAACTGAATGGTATTTTTTTTAAAGGGGGAAAATCATCGAACGATTGCAGATCACGCTGCAAGTACCTATTCTTTTAAAAAAATATTCAATGTACAATTTTGACTTTTCTACGATTTTATTATATGGAAGGATATTTAATTATCTAATTCGTTTTTAAGTACCCAAATAACAGTATTTATACAATATTAACAGTACAACTTAATGGCGTAAGCTGTAGTGTTACTTATAATGTAAAATTTTCTAAATAAATACTTACCTAAGTATAAAGTCCTCACAGATTTCGGTAACGGCGACCCCTAATAGTTATCTCCTGTCGTGTGCTGTAGCTGGAGAGACAGAATTTAGTTTTAAAATCCGATCACAACTACAGCAGTAAAGCCGGCGAAGTTGTACGTGGAATAGCAATAAAATGCATATAAAATGCCACTCTTTTCTCTGTTCTTGACTCGCCTTCTTCGCATACTTATTTATCCTCTCATATCTTCCAATATACATGCGCAAACCACAGCAAATATCTTCGCTCTTCTAATAATCGCCTCCTCCAATGTCCAACACATCGTACCTACTACATTTCTCCATTCCTCCTTTTTTGTTCAGTCTATTCTTCTGTGGAATGCGCTCCCTCCCGATATCAGGATGGTGCCCAGTCGTTTGTCATTCAAGCGGAGGGTGCGGGAGCTACTTTTGAGGAGATTGGCGGAGTCGTAAGTATCAATATACTATGTATAATTATGATACGTCTAGATAGTATATGTAATATAATTATGTAAGTTTATTTTTATGTCATATACATGTAAGTTTACCTATATAAGGTTTTATTTTATCTAAGTCTATACTATTCTCTTTTATGTACCTACTTATTTCTCTGTCATTATTCTTAAATACGCTTGCTTCTTGCATCGACCATTATTTTTGTCTCTGCATCACCCAAAGGTTTGGCTGGAGGAGAATGCGCTAGGCATTAAGCCCACCTTGTATATTAGAGTGTGCATGAAGCCTGAGACTGTCAAACTCCAAGCGGTCACCGGTGACCGCAACCTATTGTTCTTTAATTGTGTCTATATTGACGGTGCTCGACGAGTTAAAATAAAAATAAATAAAATGAATAATCTGATAAATAAAATAACGACAAATATATGGCTTTTCTTCAACATTTTTATTACTCAACAAGTACATCTTTGAGTGTAACTTTACATAATAATGAGAATTACTTATCTATAAATACAAAAATACTTCACAGGAACCTGAAACAACATGGCTACACATCGCTATACGAAACCAGTTTATCATTAGCTCGCATTGTTTTTTTATAGCATAAGTCGGTAAACGAGCAGACGGATCACCTGATGGTAAGCAATCGGCGTCGCCCATGGACACACGGAACACCAGAGGCGTTACAAGTGCTTTACCAGCCTTTTGGGGATTATGAATTTAAGGATTGTTGGGGATTCAGGGATTGGGGAGATTGAGGAAGGGGGGAAGGGGTAATTGGGCCTCCGGTAACCTCACTCACACGACGAAACACAACGCAAGCGTTGTTTCACGTCGGTTTTCTAATCCTTTATATGTATGTATTATTCCGTACATCAAACAGTTAATTTACACTAGTTTTGCATAGCTTGATGTCTTTTTTTAAGGGGGGAAATCAATGAATGACTGCTCCCGTCTGGGTGAGACGGGAGGGAGTGTCAGACTCTTACTGACTAAAAACCACCCCGTTCCTTCTCCTGCAAGTCGAGCCGGAGCCCCGGTTACCCGTTAGGTTCTCCGCGACATAGCTTGAAATCTAGCCATGCGTTCATAACATAATACAATACATAGTTTTGACAGAACTTATTCAAGGAAAATTTCAAGCTGTATGCTGAATATGGCTATCATTTTCTCTTATTAGTCTAGACAAAATTCATAAATTCCATACTTAATACAAAAATATTCGTTAATTGAAAAGTCTATTTTATTATTCCCGGGGAAGTCGAACCTAAAAGAAGGTTAATATAATACATAACACATCATAACATCACGCCTCTTAACCCCGAACGGGTAGGCAGAGGTGGGCATTATGCCACTGTACAATGTAACACCCACTTTTCACTATTTATGTTATGAGTCCCATGTAATAGAGGGTGAGCCTATTGCCATATACCGGGCACAATTCCAGGCTCCGTGCTACTACTGAGATTTTTAGAAACCCAGTAATACTTTTTAGGATATGTGGGGGTCATTAGCAGGGCGATCTTAGAGTACCTACGCGGGGGGCCTTGACACACAATAATTAAGCGCCATATTAGATTTTTTAATGTTTATTGATAGGAAGTTCACCCCTCATCCCCTATTACATGGGACTCATAATATAAATATTGAAAAGTGAGTGTTACATTGTACACTGGCATTAAACTGTCAAACACCGCGAGGACACCGGTGTACAATAAAATTTTCTCACTACTCTGATATCAACCCTAGACATGCCATGCTTGTGACCAAATCAAATAATACATAATGTAAAAAAAAACACCTACAAAAAGAAAAAAAAATTTCATATTTACAAAAAACCTAAGACTATAAAAAAATATTGGAATCGAATCTGCTACTTTGAGCAGTATAAACATTCATACCACGTACATACATGTGGTAATGGCGAAATACATCAAACTTGTTACCAGTTCACTAACACAACTCTTCTGGTGGGTATCCTATACCCGACTAAGAGACTACACATGCCAAGAGACCGGGCAGCAGCTCTCTCTGATTAACCTGAAACTTGCCTACTTTCAGCAGTGGACTATGATGACCCCAATAGGGATGATGACAGGGTATCAAAATTAAAAACTAATCAGTCCGTCTGTTCGGTTTAATTAGGCAGGGCAGCGAAGCTCTGCCTAATTAAACCTATCTAAATCGCGAAAGACACTCCGGGCGATGTTGTCCAGGTGATATCTATAGCCTTCATAATAATAAACTATCCAATACAAAAATAATTATTCAAACCGACCAGCAGTTGCTGAGATTAGGGCGTACAAACAGATAAACTGTCCTATATATTAAAAAAAGTAAGTATGTATAGATTGTGGAGTGCCTATGTTCGGGAGTGGACATAATATGATGTTCAAGACATTTTATAGCCTATTTTCAGCAATGAGTGTCTTGTAGATAATATGATAATGATTGCTAAATCATTGGGGGGACCCCTATAATCAGTAGGGGATGTTCAATATCATACGCCTATTGTCATTCAGATTCATAAACAACTAATGTTTCGTTATCCCCTAACCTTATTCTAGGAGCCTTAAAATAAGTGTCCAAATTCATCGCCCCGCTGGCAGCATTCTTCATACTGAGTACGGATACTTCTATTCCGTGAAGCATTCTTGCATGGAATTTGACATCGGCATATTTTCTGAAGGATTCCAAGCATATAGGACAATCTGCTTTCTGATTTCTTTCTTTGTGCACTTGCCACATATGGTCCCATTTGTATTTTAAGCTGTCAAATCTCTCATTGCATATCACACAACGAAATCCGAATGTTACTTTGTCGTGTGCGTACCTAACATGTCTTCGGTATGAAGATTCGAAGTAGAATATTCTGTTGCACAGATTGCAGGTGATCGGGGTCGTAATTTCATGTTTCTGTAAAAGAGGAAAAGTTTTTTTTTAATTTAACACACTTATCTAGAACAGACGTCTTAGTAATGGTCTGCGCAATGAACGAACTAATCAAAGGCCTTAGACTACGAGTTTGTTCGAGACTGCGTTCGCCGCTCTGATTGGCCGGCTTCAATGAACCCAACTAATAACAGCGCCGAACGTGGTCTCGTTTCGACTACTTAAAACGTTCAAAGTGGGGGGGATCGGAGTGATACCACGGAATTTGGCGTGAAATAACGCTTACTTATGAGTCACTGAGTAAAGTTACCGGAGACACAATTACCCCCCCCCCCTCCCCAGTCCCCGAATCATAAATAATCCTCTGCTCAAACGACTCTGCTGTTGCAGGAGCTGTAGCCAAATGCCATTTAGCGCTTGTCTACATGTGGAAAAGAAAACCAAATTATATGGAATTGACGTAAATTTTGACACTTGTCAGGGTCATCCTCATACATTTAGTTTTCTACTCTCTCTGTAGACAAGCGCTAAAATGGCGTTTGGCTAAAGGCACAGGTGTCCATGGGCGACGCCGATTGCTTACCATCAGGTGATCCGTCTGTTCGTTTACCGGCTTATCATTATGTATAAAAAAAAATCTGAAATCCCAAAAGGCTAGCAATGCACTAATGTACCGGAAGTGTATATGTGGCACAGATTGCTCACCATCAGATGCAAACCAACTTTTCCAAGAAAATACTCTTTATTTGTATCTATATTATATTTCAGACACAATTTAAATCCTTACTAATATTATAAATCGGAAAGTGAGTTTGTTAGTTTGTTCCGCTTTCACGCCGTAACTACTAAACCGATTGCTTTGAATTTTTGCAGACGTAAATTTAGAAATCTGGGTTAAATAATAGGGTACTTTTTATCCCGGAAAAATGTGATATTCCCGAGGGAAAACAAAAGTATTGGTATAGATAGCGGTGTGAGTATTGGTTTATGTCACATAAGCTACTTTTTATCCTTTTGTGACGCGAGCGAAGCCGCGGGTAAAAGCTAGTTGTTCAATAAATGAATAAATAAATATCCTTGAGTGCATTTCCATAGTGCATACAGGGATAGTCGCCGGTTTGTGTGTCCATTACAAAGTTGTCTAAAGGGCCTCTGCGCAGTTGGCTTCGGCCCCTCGTACGCCTCCCAAATGACCGGGACCCTGTGGTCCCGTGAATGGTAAAGACATACATAATAATAATACAAGCAAAAAGGAAAATGCTTACCACCAAATGTTTAATAAGGGACGACTTCGCTTGAAACTTCTTCCCGCACAGATCACATACAAGAACTTTATAATTGTGCACTTTTTTATGTTTAGTAAAATTACTTGAATCACTGAATGTTCTATCACACAGTTCACATTTATACACAGGCAAGGAAGCGTGGTCTCTCATGTGTTGCTTATACTTCTCCGGAGTAGGGAACCCAATGGCACAAATCTGACATCTCAGGGCTCCAAAGACTGGTTTCTGTGCATAAGCATCTGCTAGCAAATGCTCAATTATATGTCTCTTACACCCATACACCCTGGTAAATTTCCTGTGGCAATAGTTGCACTCTTTTGGCACTTTCATCATTATGTGTTCTGAAAAAAGAAAATTTACATTATAGAGGTAACATAACATCACGCCTTTTATCCCCAAAGGGTTATGCAGAGGTGCACATTACGGTACTTAATGCCACTGGGCAATGTAACACCCACTTTTCACTGTTTATATTACGAGTCCCATGTAATAGGGGGTGAGTCTATTGCCATATACCGGGCACAATTCCAGACGGAGTGCTACTAATGAGATTTTATAGAAAAAGCCCAGTAATACTTTGCCCGACCCGGGAATCGAACCCAAGACCCCTTGCCCGGCAGTCGCAATTGCGACCACTCGGCCAACGACGCAGTCAGTCAGTCAGGCAGTTATATTTTAGGAGACGGATAAAAATCAAGGACTTGTGCCCCAGAATATTCAGAGATTACTATTTTTATAATAAAACTGAATTATGTTAGAAATTTATGTTAGTCTTTTAAATAATAAATTTCGATTTCGAGATATTTTTATTTTCTAGTCTCCGCACTATGCGAGTGGTATTCGTAGGTGCGCTTCGTGGAATAGGAAATTATTTATTAAAATTTTTTATTTTAAGCGCACCTACAGAGGCGCTAAGTGGAATACTTTAGGTGCGCTTCGTCTGGGTGCGCTTCGTTTGGGGTGGCTTCATGGAATACCTCTCAGATACCAATGTCAATAGTATTTTGTATCTGGTATCTGAAATATTTCATTTTAAAGTATTTTACATTTTGTATTGGGTATTTTTATATATATTTTTACACCCTTCCTCGACACATGAACTATCTAAAACACAATAAAAGTTACTCAATTCGAACGAAAGCCAAAGTAAGTTTTGTGTTAAATGGGTCGAAAAAAAAATCTTTATAGTTTATTGAAATGTTGGAATTGATCTCTTCTATAACCCCATTTTTTTTTTTAAGGGGGAAAATCATCGAATGACTGCTCCCGCCTGGGTGAGGCGGAAGGGAGTGTCAGACTCTTACTGACTAAAAACCACCCCGTTCCTTCTCCTGCACGTCGAGCCGGAGCCCCGGTTACCCGTTAGGTTCTCCGCGACTCCGAATCGGCATCGGCCCTACTGGGCCCCATCTGTGGTGGTCTGATGGCTCTTTGAGGCGCGCGCGGAACGCTCGGCGCCGTACGCTCGGGTCTGTTTCTGGTCGGACGGGGAGCCACCCATGCTCGCCGTCCGCAGGCCCGCGCTTACGGTGGCCGGAGATCGTCCCGCGATCCCCGACGCCCGGTGTGTTCTTCGCGATGGCTGGGTTGCGAGGAGGCAGCGCTTCGCTGCCTCACGCGTCCCGCCTCCTCCTTAGCTAGCATGACTGCTTCGCAAAAGGAGGAGACGGCATCCCAGTTCCCCTCGCTCTCTATAACCCCATACGAGATTGAGGTCTAATTACAAATCACCCTTTATAATAGTATAAGCCATAAGATCAGTATAGATTGATTACTTACGCAAGCACTCTTTAACAATAGCTTCAGGCAGGCATCCCGGTAAGGGTTCATGGGCAATACTTCCATCTGGATTCAAATCTTGTTGAATCTCCTCTTTAATCCTTAGTTTATTTTCTGGATTATGACCAAGATGTATTTGCCAATGATCAAAGAATTGATCCATTGTCACAATTTCACTGCACTGCTTACATTGAAAATCCAACTTATAATAACTTTCATGAGATATCAATTTGACACGGACAAAATTCTGTTTTATATGTGTATATAGATGCTGTCCTAATTGAGTAACAGTTTGGAATTGTCTTAGGCATTCCGGACAAGCCATTTCTTTGACACCATGCTTAGTGAAATGCACCAAGTATTTGCCTAAAGACGGGAACACAGTCTCACACTTGGTGCAATTATAAGTCTTTTTATTATAAGTTGACTTTCCGCAGACACTTTCTACGTGCTCTTTGAATTTCTTGTGTCTTGCTTGGTAGCCACACTTATTACATTTGTAGATTCTGTTTTTCATTCTACCACCGACTAGAACTGGACTCAAGGTTTCATTGTCCGAGCCATCTGTATAAAACTTTTCAGTCTGATCATTACTAACATTTTCTTTTACACCAAATTGATCAGTGGCTTCACACTTGACGTCTATTTTAATAATATCGCCTTGATAATCTTCTTCTTCCTCATCAAAATTTTCTTCTTTAACTGAGATTTCTTTTTCTGTGATTGATTCCTCATATATTTCATTGTATGGTTCATTTAATTCTAATGGTTCTTCTTTAATAACTAAATTACATTCTTCATCGTCTTCTTCGTTTTCTGCTTCTTCTGGTTCTTCTGGAAAATAGAGAAAACTATATTATAATATTATGTGTTGATCTCAGCAAAATCTTAACTTAAAGGTTCTGGTGTGTTTCCCACTAGCCGCTGTAGCAGTGTCCTCAACTGTGTCAGCTGCTATTGATCGCAGCGTGATGATTATAGACCTTGTCTTTGAAGATGATGATCTTTGAGTGATGTCTTTGATGAGGTAATGAGGACCCGAGCAGTGCTAATGACCGGAACTACTGGTGTGATTTGGATTTTTTGTTTTGGGTATTCCATCCTCAATAGATCTATCATCTATTCAGGAAGTGGATTTTTAAGTGTGGGAGAGCCGTGCTTCGGCACGAATGGGCCGGCTCGACCGGAGTGATACCACGGCCTCACAGAAAACCGACGTGAAGCAACGCTTGCGTTGTGTTTCGTCGTTTGAGTGAGGATACCGGAGGCCCAGTTGCCCTCCCCTTCCCCAATCTCCCCTATTCCTGAATCTTCAACGATCCTCAAACTCCTAATCCCCAAAAGGCCGGTAACGCACTTGTAATGCCTTTGGTGTTCCAGGTGTTCATGGGCGACGCCGATTGCTTACCATTAGGTGGTCCGACTGCTGGTTTACCGGCTTATGCAATAGAAAAAAAAAGTGCCTTTGCTCGGCTCCTCATCACATCATCAAAGATGTCACTCAAAGATCATCATCACCAAAGATTGCACGCTAAGATGATGATGATGAGATCTTAGCTTGACCTTGATGTCTTTTATTTACTCCCAACTAAAGATACCTACACTTAATACATGCTAATAAATAATCTACCGGACATTAGCCACCACAGGACCTTTAGCCATTTATTATAGGTTCTGGTATATCACTACATAGTATAAAACAAAATCGCTATCCGCCGTCTGTCTCGCCCTATGTATGCTTAGATCTTTAAAACAGCGCAACGGATTTTGATGCGGCTTTTTTTTAATACAGGGATTCTTAAAGAAGGTTTATTATGTATAGGTAAATGGTAATACATGCATATTGCACCCGTCTGAAGCCGGGGCGGGTCGCTAGTCATCGACAAATGACTATCCATGATTGAAATAAAAGAGTTATATTTCAGCATTATTACACTTCAGCTTTATCAATACATAGTATAAAACAAAGTCGCTTTCGCTGTATGTCCGTATGTATGCTTAGATCTTTAAAACTACGCAACGGATTTTGATGCGGTTTTTTTTAATAGATAGAGTGATTCTTAAGGAAGGTTTGTATGTATAATACATGCATATTGCACCCGTGCGAAGCCGGGGCGGGTCGCTAGTACCTCTATATACTTACCTAATATTAAAAAGTATCTATAGAGTATAAACCTTACCTTTAACAAAATCACTTTCAATTTTTATGTCCGTCATAGTTTCTTCCTGCTTTTCTATAGTATCATCTTGGTTATCAGGTTTTTCCTTTTTTACAACATTTAACAGTTCAGTTCTCAAACTGTCGATAATGCAGGAAATTGGTACGAGTATCTGAAAACAAAATAAAATATAATTTTAAAACGTTTGAAACTTGGGTGTCTTCAAGTCCCGAGTGATAAGGTTGGTTTATAGGCGTGCTCCATCGTAGGCCGCGTCATCTTTTACCATTAGGCGAGATAGACGACAAACGCCAGCCTAATAAATACTAGTTAGGTACTCCAGCACGATTTCACTCGCTGCTCAGCTCCTATTGATCGTAGCGTGATGTTTCTTCTTGATAGCCTTCTTCGATAAATGGACTATCCGAGACAAAAAGAATGTTTCAAATCGGCCCAGCAGTTCCAGAGATTGACGCGTCAAACAAACAAACAAACAAGCAAACAAATTCTTTAGCTTTAGTATAGTATATAGGTACTAAGATATAAAATTATTAGACTACCCAATTACCGTTCCCCAGTCCCCAACAATCCTCAAACTCCTAATCCCCAAAAGGCCGGTAACGTACTTGTAACGCCTCTGGTGTTCCAGGTGTCAATGGGTGACGCAGATTGCTTACCATCAGGTGATTCGTCTGCTCGTTTACCGCCTTATCCCTTAAAAAAAACTCACCTTAGGAAAATACAGGTTCCTTTTGGAATCCTGCCCATGTTTAGACCGTTTATGTTGAAAAGCATCCTCCTCATCAACAAACAAATTGAAGTCAGGGCATTGCATACACTTAGCAACCATCATAAATTTATCAGTGTGTTTCATCAAATGAATGTACTTTTTGCAATACTTATTCAGGCTTTCATTACATATATTACAGGTAAAGTTGTGGTTAGACATCGCTGAATGTTTTTTGATCATAATTTTATTATAAAAGCCTTCATAACAGTCGAAACACTGAAATACAGGGTCCTTATTCACACAAACATGATGAACTTTGGAAATGAACCGCTGTGAACATTTGCATGTCTTGCCTCCAATCACTGCAGCAGGCTCATCGGACCTCACCGAATGGCACAACACCAAATGCTCCTCTAAATCTATGAGTTTTTCAAACTTGACTGAACAAACCTGACATTCATTATCCCCAACGTCACAAAATTCACAGTTATTAGCATGAATCATAGCGTAATAACAATTAAAAAATGTTCTCTGACACTTCCTTGATACATATTGACCAAATACTATATTGTTAAAATCGTATGTTTGTACTTTGTGATAATGATAATCTCTTCCACATAAGGAACAGTTGCCCTCAGCAAATATGTTTTCAAAAGTAAATTTACTGTTGGAACTGGAAGCAACGATATTGGATTCATGGTTAGTTTGTTCAAAGGTAACAGTGACATTTTCATGTTGTGTAATGTGATCCCTAAAGTCAGAGAGATGCCACCAAGCTACTTTGCAAATATAACATTTGTAAAATACTGGACGTGTGCGGTTCACATATTTTGCGTGGTTTGACCACAATTTCCATTCTTCTAGAGCTTTCAGGATTCCTTCCTCTTGATGGGAACGAGGACTTACATTTTGTATCATTGAACCGATGGTGTTTTTCACATACAAACTTAAGCACTTGTCCGTATTATTAGTAGCAGTTTGGATGATATCATCAGTGGCTTTTAATATGTCTTCAATCTTGAGTTCTATTGAAGGTAACGGAGACATATCCAAGTTATCTAAGTGGTTTTGTAGAATAGACTTGTTTTCTTCCAAATTTCCAACCGGATTCATATCTTCATCGCATGTTTCAATTTGAATATCAACTTCAAATTTTCTTGCAGGTTCTTCGAGAGCTTTGGCTTCCTCAGAATCTTGTCTTGCAGCTGCATTAATTTTTTCCAAGACGCTTTTTATATCATTTTTCTTTTCAACCTTTGTTTCAGTTTTCTTCCTCTTGGTCGTCTTTACAGGTATAAAAAGCTTTTTTAACGGTGACTGTAAAAAGAAACATTTAATCTAAATTAGTCAAAGTCAAAGCATTTATTTTAATTAATCTTTAATTAGGCACTTTGAAAATTTCAAAAATTGAATTGACCATCGGTCTGTCCGTCAGTGAAGCTAGGCGCTTGTTCAAAAGTCTTAAGTCTTTTGCCTATTCATGAATTAGATAGATGAGTCCTGCATTTCCCGTCCCCAAGAAGCAACACAAAGCACCTGTTTCACCACTTTCCTAAAGTCTCTAATGAATAAAGTTATAATGGCAAATATCCAAACAAATTTATCACATTCTGCAGGGTGGAATTTTGTAATGCCACCTAGAGGGGAAGTCCTCTTAATAGGTTAGATAGAATATTTTACTCAAAGAAAACATTCCTTTGTTTTTGTAAAGAAACAAAACTGCATTCATAGTTTTTTTTAAATAAGCTTGCCTCACACAGTAATCGAACAGACTAAAAGCTGTCACAAGTTTGCACCCTGTACTTTTATTGCATCGGTTGTTCATTGTTTTCCTTTATGAAGTTTGTTAGAGAGATTACATCCTTATTGACTCTAATAATCGATGCAATGAATGAACATGGTGCAACTTTAGCCCATAAATCCCCAAGCGGTCACCGGTGACCGCTTTCCACTAATATTACATTACATTATAGACCTTATTTCTAATGTTTAGAGAATACTTTTGTATGACCAAATTTAGGGGATGGATATCAACGGGTTAACAGATTTTAGTCTGTTTGAATACTGTGTGAGGCAAGCTAATTTTTAAAAATCATTGAATGCAGTTTTGTTACTTTTCCAAAATATAGTAATGTTTTCTTTGAGTAAAATGTTCTTCCTACAGTATTAAGAGTACTTGCCCTTCAGGGGGCATTACAAAATTCCATCCTGTATATACTTTATCAGATAGCGGCTACCCAGACATTTTGAACAGGCCTTTGAACTCAAAAACTAACTCGTTCCACCCTGAATATACTTTATCAAATAGCGGCTACTCAGACATTTTGAACAGGCCTTTGAACTCAAAAACTAACTCGTTATCTTTTAAAGTCCAAAGAAATAGAAAAAGTGAGAGAACCGTGCATTTACAATCTATCTTTTATAGATAAAGATAGTTCATTTGCAAAAAAACCCTATTTGCAAATGAACTACATATTTGAAAAAACAAATACATTTTATGTTTAGTTAGGTACATTGCGAGCTCAACCAAGTGTGGAAAGAGGTCATTTTATGTATGAAAACAAATTTAATGTTTATTATCATTCAGACCTATTACATGGGACTCAACATACCTAATTGGTGTTAAGTGTTACATTGTATATTGGGCATATATGTGGATCTAAGCCTACCTCTTTGGTAACAAAAAGGCGCAATGTAATTCAGTTCTTCGCAGGATAAAGTATTTTATTCATCAAATGAATACTAATCACTGAGAGTATTTCATTAAGTATTTATTTCAAGACCTTTTAAAATACATATTAAGTATGCATTTATTATTGATAATTTGCTTATTTAAGTCATCAAAACGCCATTAATATAATTAAATCAAATTCGAACTAAGAATCATTTTACTAAGTACCATAATAACACATCTAAATCACCACGCGTCCCCATCTTTTGACATAATTTTTGTCCAAAACAATAATAAGTAGGTACCACCCGATTATTAAAATACGGAGTTTTTAAATTGCATCTGTAGCGATATTATTTTCTCATTGACACTCATGATAATATTATTGAATTCACAAATAAAAATCATAAATAAGGTATTAGTAAAATAACAATAGCTTATACAAATTACCTACCCCCATATTATCTGCTACAAAATCTAACCGCAAATTAAGTGAAATGATACGTTATAAATTCGTAAACAACATTCAATTAGTATCTACAACAGTTTTCAATTAAAACCTTGAATTAAATACCACGCAAACTTGCAAATCAACTTATGATAGTCATGAAAACTTTGTCAAAATGGTGGTATACTATAAGTTTCCTACCTGCAAATGAATTTCTTCTTCCTCGGCACATTCTCTCGGCACTAATTTAGACTTTCTACACCTTTTTCTTGCAGACATTTTTACACAATTTTACACAATAAACATGCCATACGCAAGGAAAATACAACTGAATTTGTTCTTTACTGTTAAAATTCTTTGTAGGTACACAAGCTATGGACAACGAACGAGACTCGCTCGCAGATTTAACTTTCAAGCAAAACGATAACCGAGCCAGGAAAAATACTAGTAACAAAAGAGTGGAACTAATCGGATCTCTCTTTTTCACTTGTACCGTTACACGTAGACACTAGCGCCACTTGAAATGTGGGCTCCGTATTTCATTGTTTGAATGTCTGTGATTGCAAGCATGTTGGGTAGGTAGTCGGCGACAATAATATTATCTATGAATGAAACGTTCCATTTTATAAAAACGTTATGGTAATATTAAAAAATACTTAAAACTTAGCTAAAATGAAATTATTTATTACAGTTCAATGGTAAATGAGGAATTTTGAATCCTTACAAAAGTATAATATCCTTATTACATTTAATAGATTTTGTAGTTGGTATTTATTGAAGGTAGGGTTGAAATGAAAAAGTATCAAATATGTGTTAAACAATTTTATCTAACTCTTCATTCTGTTTAAGACAAAGTAAAAAAAAATGACGGTCTGAAATAGTAATTTGCACTAAAGATTAAAAATAAAATAAATTACAAAATATGTTGAAGTTACATATTAAGATATTATGAGATTATTAACACATTATATATATTTTATATAGATACAATTTTTTTAAGGGGGGATAATCATCGATGACTGCCCCCGCTTGGGTGAGGCGGAAGGGAGTGTTAGACTCTTACTGACTAAATACCACCCCATTCCTTCTCCTGCACGTCGAGCCGGAGCCCCGGTAACCCATTCTCCGCGACAGATATATACAATAAAAATATACTTTAAACTTTTAAAGGTATGGGAATACCTATGAACATATTCGGCGTGTCCGCGTGAGGAATATTTTTTGGATCTGTATTTATTTTTTAAACATTTATTTTTGAATGTAAACAGTAGTAATTAATTCTTTTTACTACTTAATCTTTTTTACTACTTTTAGGTACATACTCTAAAATTAAAAACTTTTTGTTTTGTTTAAATGCGGTTATATCCGGAAGTACTGGTATGCAAGCTTTTTGCCCAGGATAATCAATTTGTCAAGGAAGGTTATGGAATAAAACATCACGCTACACTCTATAGGAACCTCTGAATAACTAATTAAATTCCTAAAAGGGTGCGTCTAAGGGAGAGACTAAAGTCAGTAGTTTACTACTTGTATACTATTTGCTCAAAGTCTCACACGTGGAATGGAACGTTGATTCCTTTTTATCACTATGAACATTTGAATTGAATATATCTTTGTTTTTATCTGTGAAATTTCTAACCTCAAAATGGAATTTTAGTTTCCAATATATTTTTCACATAAAAATAAAACAAAATGAGTTTGTTTATAAGGAATTACAAGCCTAACAGCTTGGCGATTGTGTATAATGTGAAATTATGGCGCTTGAATTCGACTACAGCCGATAGCGTGATGAAAAAAGATGACGAAGAAGAAGAAGAATTTAGAGTGCTCGATATTTTGAAAAAGAAAGATAGAATGCAGAGGAGAGTCGTTCGTAGGGCTGATATACAACCTGATAGAGCTGACAGAATGGCCTTAGACCAGGTAATTCATTAAAAAATCTCATTTGTACGTCATCAGCTGATCAATTTTCATTCACGTGAAAACGAATAATTTTCGATTTTATTCGTCTAATAACTTCTACCAGCAGCTTCTCCCGCATTCCCGTTGGATAAAAAGTAGCCTATGTTATTCCGGAATATAATCAAACCCGTGTTCCAAATTTCATTCGATCCGGTCAGCCGTTTTGCCGTGATTGAGTATCGTTCATCTATACAAACACAAACATTCGCGTTTCTAATAGTAAGATACGCCTTTTAAAATATACTTTCTGACCCTTTTTATTCCCCAAAATGTTAGGCATACATCCTTTTCATCAGTTGTAATATCATGAGTTCTGTAACTGTAAATATATTAAGTATTATTGGGTGAGCATATTACTAGAAACTTGTTTTATTATCTTTGCTGAGAATTTAACCCTTTAACCGCCAAGATTCTGAACTTTCAACTTACCTCCAGCGCCACGTCACTTTAGGTATAAGTTGGAACAGTGTTGGGAACACTTAATATCGATACATATATTCTTTATTAATTAAAATCAATGTTTTATTTACCTACTTAATAAATAATCTAAAAATTTTCAATCTTCAAACGAAGTATACGAAAATGTGTATTCGGGAAATGGGCACGGCGTCGTTCGTTCTCCTGCTGGCGACGGTGACGATGCTCCACGAGCATGCCGTATTAAATTTAATAATTTCATGTAAACTTCTGAGCGGATTTCCGACAGTACGGTTTCCAGCTCAAAAGGTTTTAAAGATGCAAAGTATTCATTTCGTGGATCACTTGGTCTCTGATCAAAAACTTTTGCGTCACCATCTTCTAACTTCGCATAATGGACACATTTGGTTTTGACTGTGTTGATTTATTTGAGAAATAACAAAAACCCAAAAAAGGGGTTACAACACTAGTTGCATTGAGTGATAAATGTTTAACGTGATTTTACGGTGACGGCGCTAAGGCAACTCACAATACAGCGCTATAATCACCTTGGCCGCACGTAATATTACGATGATGGCGACCGGCGATTGTCCGCACTAGTGCGGTTCTGCGTTATGAAATTTTTATATTATTGTTATAAATATTAAATAATTTTAAACTTAAATACATTTTAATTAGTACAAATACTTGCATCAAAGTAACACTATGGTTATTTTCTAATGAAGGTATACACTTTCATTGCAAATAGTGACAGTAATATCTATAGTGCCTTGTTTGTTCTTAGACAACCTATTAAGTATTTTTCGAATTCGCCCCATCCCTAGTACTCGTAAAATTACGTGATTGGCGATACAGATAATGGAGACGGTGACCACAATTTAATTAAACCTCAAATTTCACAGTATTTATCACTCAAAACATTGAGAAATATCCATAACAATAAAGATTATACCCTACATCTTGAAATTGACACATTTTATATGGAGTTTGTGCACTATAAGAAGATTTTTAATAAAATAACGTGATTGTACGTATGTGGCGATTCGGACACAGCTTTCGAAAACCGTAATATTACGTTGTCGGCGGTTAAAGGGTTAAAAGGGTTTTTTACTGAGAATTTGAATGAGAGAAACAGAAAAAGCAGGTGGGACACTTGGGAACTCGAACCCCATTACATTTCAGTTTGCTTCTGATTAGAGTACTAAAATAGGAAATGCTGACCACAACTTCATGTAGCTTAATTTAAAATATTGACTTGTATGTAATAGGGCCATTTTGTATTTTAAATACTTACAATTAGAATAATAAGTAAATTAACAGTGAAACTATACTAAATTAATGACAAATTTATAATTCCAGAAATGGGGCAACGTTTGGCCTGGTCCGAAGACATTTCATCCGTCATCAGTACCGTTACCACTCCGTCAGGGCTACGTACCAAAAGGCCAGGCTCCACCAGGCAAAAAGGCTAATGCTGAGCTGATGAAGATACCAAATTTCCTGCATTTAACGCCACCTGTTATCAAGAGCCAGTGCGAAGCCTTAAAACAGTTTTGTACCGAGTGGCCAAGCCTTTTAAACTCTGAAGAGGCAATAGAGAAGCTCTATCCAGTTGAAGTCATAACATCAGACTACTGCCATGCAAGTCCATCCATCCGTAACCCTTTAGCAAGAATTGTAACACTCCGTTTCAAGCTATCAACTTTGAGCCTAGACAAACATGCAAGGGACAAATTTATCCGTTTAGTCGGTGAACGATATGATAAGGAGACTGATCTTGTAACAATAACCGCAGACCGGTGTCCGGCGAGAACTCAGAACTTGGATTATGTGAATTATTTGTTAACTGCGTGTTATCATGAAGCGTGGAACGTAGAAGAGTGGGAGAAGGATAAAACTGAAGATGATATGGAGTATTATGAATGGAATAATAACGCTTCAAAGAAGAGTTTAGTCAACTGGTTTATGCGTATAAAAAATGATTTTAAAGAACTGTCTGAAGAAGAATATAGGAGTTTTGATGTGTCCGTAATTCCCAATGCTGAAGGTTATAAAGAAGCGGTGTCAAGTTTGATGAACGATGGAGAGAGCGATGAAACAGTCAGAAAATATGGTGTATCCGTCAGGAAATTATTAGGTTTGCCTGAGAAGAAAGTTATGTAAGTTCATTTTGTGTATAAATAAAATTGTAATTAGTGTTATATTTGTTTTTATTTTGACATTAGACTTACATAATATACATTATGTTACAACCAGCAGTTATGTTATGAGTCGGTGACTACACAGTATACTGGACACCATTTAGGACATTTAGGACTGGCTGCTACTGAAATAAATAATAAGTGTTTAGTCTGCCGGTCAGTCCTCTAGTGAATCTATTTGCTTGTTTCAAAGTATAGATTCCTATGTAGAAGAATGAGCAAGAAATTTATGCCTGTATTCACAAACCTCCTAAATTTAAAGGATTCCTTACCTAAGATAGGTGATTGTTATTTCGATAAACCAATACAAGTAAGGGTTAAGTTTGAGTGCTGCCTCAGATTAAGTTAGTCTTATATTATGTTATACTTACGTTTTATGCTAATAATATTATTATTTATTATTAGTTAAGTGTCAGTTTAGGAGTATTGGCGATAACGCACATTAGACAACTAATAACATAGTTTGAATAAAAAAGTAAACAATAAATGCAGATTTTTTATTATTTTTGCATCAAGTTGAAACATTTGAGCGCTGAATAGGCGACCAAGCTGTAACAAGTCACGCAGTCGACTACAATTTTGTTCAGAACATTACTAAGCACTTTTAAAACACACTTCTTTTCACGACTACCCTCAATTTTTTTCTGACTCGGATTCCATTTTTTCCGCCAAATGTCGGTGATGCTACTTTTTTTCAAAATTTCCTGCGAATTTTGTGTCGTAGACTGAGTATCGTTTTGTCTATTTTTTAAATATTTTTTTAATACAATTTCTAGTATGTGGAAGATATATGAAACATTTTCTATCTCGTCGATGTTTTGTAGTTCGTAAATTGAGTCTGTCTCTATAATATTTGCATGGAATTTTTCTAGTATATTCGTTATTTTTTCAATTGTATGTATCTGAATGTGCACAGATTTGTTTAGTAGCAAAATCCTTTGGATTCTCTCGTCTTTTTTCAGAAACTGTAAAGAAAATAGATTAATTAGGTCATCTACGTGATACGGTAGTTAAAAAACTAATCAAAATCAGTAGGTAGGTACTTTTATGGTTATATTAAAAAACTATAGAAATTTTTAGTACCTACGACATTTTTTCGAGGTACCTACGATGATAATATTTTGTGTCGAAATTATATCTACCTACTCATTGCTTTTTTTTAAGGGAGGATCATCATCGAATGACTGCTCCCGCCTGGGTGAGGCGGGAGGGAGTGTCAGACTATTTATACTGACTAAAAACCACCCCGTTCCTTCTCCTGCTCGTCGAGCCGGAGCCCCGGTTACCCGTTAGATTCTCCGCGACTCCGACCTACTTATTACTAAAATTAAGATTTTGTCGAAAAATTCGTACATGACCGTTTAAACTGCAATCTGTATTCTATTCCGCCTGCCTAGCTTGAAGATTGAATAAAAGAGGCTCTTAGTCTTAGTACAACAGTAGACTGTCACTTAAGTGTTGACGATGAAATCTAATCTATATAATTATATAAAAATGAATCCCTTTTTCCCTTGGTCACGGCATCACGCGTATTTGTTATTATTGATTAGAAGAAGGGATCGGGAGAAATTGGGATTGCGCGTACGAAGTCGAGGGCAGAATCTAGTGCTTTATAAAACAAATGCTTTTCGTATGTCGAATAGGGAGGGTAGTATCCTAAATTTTATTTTAATGTACGTCTGGTAAATGATTTTAAAACATTAGACACGTTATTTTCTTTTCTTACAAAATTAAATATTTTTTTAACGAAAGAGGTATGTAGTAATCGTAGCAATTGGCTTTCCATAGTCTCTGCCTACCCCCATCCGAGATGGGCGTGAAGTTATGTATGTAAATATCCTGCAGAGCCGTCCATGGACATCCACAACACTAGAGGAGTCACAGCTGCGATGCCGGTCTTTTAAAAAGGAATACGAGGCCCGAGTGAATAGGTTGCTTATGGGTCGACGTGCTCCATCGTAGACCGCATCATTGCTTACCACCAGGCGAGATAAAATATAATAATAATAATAAAAGAATACGGTCATTCCTTGAAGGTGGTATCAGTTCGGAAATACCCTCGACGACTGATCATTCCACAGTTTTAGGAAAAAACGTACAATACCTACATCCTACAAATATTATAAAAGCGAGTGTGTATGTTGTTTTTGTATACTACTTCACGTCCGAACGGCTGAAGGGATCAGGATGATATTTGGAGCAGGGATAGGTTAAGGTACGCTGGTATCAGCTACTATTTTTTTTTAAGTGGGGAAAATCATCGAATGACTGCCTCCTGGGTGAGGCAGGAGGGAGTGTCAGACTCTTACTGACTAAAAACCACCCCGTTCCTTCTCCTACAGGTCGAGCCGGAGCCCCGGTAACCCGTTAGGTTCACTATTTAGGAGAGAGAGCAGGTGTTTCTGTAAGCTCATATTCAGTCGAAATTAGGAATGATTTATTAACAAAATGTCCCTACTTATAAATACTTTTTTTTATGGCATAAGCCGGTAAACGAGCAGTCGGATTACCTGATGGTAAGCATTGGCACCGCCTATGGACACCTGGAACACCAGAGGCATAACAAGTACGTTACTGGTCTTTTGAGGATTAGGAATTTGAGGATCTTTGGGAATTCAGGGATTGGGGAGATTGAGGAAGGGGAGAGTAATTGGGCTTCCGGCAACCTCACTCACACGACGAAACACAACGCAAGCTTTGCTTCACGTCGGTTTCCTGTGAGGCCGTGGTATCACTCCGGTCGAAGCGGCCATTCCTGCCGAAGCATGGCTCTCATAACATAACACATAAACATAACATAACATCACGCCTTTTATCACCGAAGGGGTAGGCAGAGGTGCACATTGTGCCATTGTACAATGTAACACCCACTTTTCACTATTTATGTTATCTAACGGGTAATCGGGGCTCCGGCTCGACGTGTAAGAGAAGGAACGGGGTGGTTTTTAGTCAGTAAGAGTCTGACACTCCCTCACTCAGACGGGAGCAGTCATTCGATGATTTTCCACCCTTAAAAAAAATACACTATCACACAAAGGTATATTTTTACAATCCGACCAATAACAGCGCACGGTTGATCGGGAGTTTAATGGAGGTAATTGTGAGGTATGGTGTTTGTGTTATGATAGTGTATGTCGCTATAAAAAAATATTGCTTCGTATTATACCGCCTATGTGTGATTTCCGACTATAATCTACCGCTGTTCCAAATGGCATCTCGATCACTTCAGCCGTTTTGACGTGAGTAACAAATAAACATCGATACACCCTCATAAAGTTTCGCAGTTATAGAGATAATATTACTTACTAGAATTCATTGTTCTTAAAGAAATTCTCATCTATAGCCATTGTCCTGTTATTTCTAACTAGCTGACTAATAATACATTTATTTATTTATTTAAACTGTCAAACACCGCGAAGACACCGGTGACCGCAACCTTTAATCGTGTCTATAATGACGGTACTCGAAGACTTAAAAAACAACATCGCCCCACACTATATTTTTCTCCTGTACCGTGGGTGCGTTTACAAACATACAAGTTCATATACACATGGCACCTAGACCCGGAACAACAATTAGTGGATCACACAAAGAGTTGCTCAGTACGGGAATCGAACCCGGGACACGTTGCGCGGCAGTCAGTAGCTGGCTGAAGATAGTAGCTTAATAAATGGTTTTTGTTTTTTCTAGATGTGATCATCCTATTATCTGATAAATGTTTGTAGGTATTGCTTTTTTTCAGTTTTTTCAGTAAAACATGTTATATTACCGCATGGACAATAAATGTTGGAGAGCTATGTTTCGGCACGAATGAGCCGGCTCGACCGGAGTGATACCACGGCCAAGCCGACGTGAAACAAAGCTTGCGTTGAGCTTCGTAGTGTGAGTGAGGTTACCGGATGCCCAATGACCGTTTCCCCTAATCTCCCCAATCCTTGAATCACCAACAATCCTAAAATTCCTAATCCCTAAAAGGCCGGTAACGCACTTGTAACACCTCTGCTGTTCCGGGTGTCCATTGGCGACGGCAATTGCTTACCATCAGATGATCCGTCCGATAATTAACCGGCTTATCCAATAAAAAAGAAAAATAATATTCGTTAAGTTTTCAAAAAGTGGGTATCATTTTTATTAGGTATGTGTACGTTTTACGTAAGTAGGTAGGTTGTCAAGCTATGTAAAACCAGGAATTGACCGTCGTATCTGTGGAATGGTCATACAAAACGAGACTGATAAACTGGTATTTTATAGGAGGTAGGTACCTACACAATATTTTTTAAATGGCTTTGTCCTCGCGCGTCTCGTACACGGGTTTAATACCTCTAGAAAGCGAATGAACTATTCTGTTCAATCAAATAAAGAACGGGTTGCAACTTGAAAATATACATCACGGAAAAAATTACAATTGCGGCTATGGGCACTCAACTCTCTCGTACCCACGTGTGTACAAGAAACGCGTGAGAGGTTATTTACCTTATATTATAGTCAAATTTAGTAAAAGGAATTTTACTAATTTTACCTTCTTCCTGGATGCTAAGATACTCTTGAAACCATGATATCAATGTCAATGCAATAGGGTAGATGACTAATTTTTATTTTAATGTCCGTCTGGTAGATTGTTTAAGAACATTAGACAGGTATTTTTTATTTTCTAACGAAAACTAATAGTGTCGAAGTTATATTGATTTGAAATATCGCATGACGTCACTTTTGAGTACGATTTATACTCTAAAATGACATAGCTACCTCTCACTCCTTGTCGCGGAGAACCTAACGGGTTACCGGGGCCCGGGGCTCGACGTGTAAGAGAAGGAACGGGGTGTTTTTTAGTCAGTCTGACACTGAGTCTGACACTCCTTCCCATCTCACCCAGGCGGGAGCGGTCATTCAATGAACTTTCCCCCCTTAAAAAAAAAACCTCCCACCCACTCCTAAACTTTGCTTCGTTAAAAATATTGTTTTCTTATACCTACGATAAAATAAAAAAATACATGTTTAATATTTTTTTCATGATCTAACTGCCGGACTAATTAGATTTTTAATTTTCATACCCTGTCATCATTCCTATCACAATCCAATAAAATCTCAATAATTATTCAATGTGAAAACTATGTACACCACAGAGTACGGAATTTAAATCAAAACTCAATACCATTTAGTTCATTCCATATCCACGCAATACGGATGCAATGGGCGCTAGTGTTCAAAGTCAAGAGTACGTTTAACAATACCAATGTCGATCGATCGGATTATGATTCAAAAGTAAACCTCCTGCGGACAGTTCAATCTGATATTTGGTACACACTCTTAACTCTTGGTAAGTACGGTGTTTGGGCAACTGGTTGTCGCCAGTTCGATTCCCGCACAACTGTTTGTGTGATCCACAGATTGTTGTTCCGGGTATGGGTGTCATGTGTATGTGAACTTGTATGTTGTAAATGCACCCACGATACAGGAGAGAAAATACTCGTGTGGTGTGGTGGGGCAACGTTTTTTTTTTAAATCTTGATGACCGTACAATATAACTAATCATATTTTTTCCACAACTACCTCCATTATGGATATCAAAGGAGAAAAACGAAAAGGGCCTTGATTGACCTCATTAAAACCTTCTACTATATGATAAATGCGAACATTTGTGATTTTGTGTCTGTGTTTGTCTCTTACTCAATAACATTAACACGGCTGAAGGGATCGGAATGATATTTGGAACTGGGGTAAGTTTTTTTTAGGTGGGAAAATCATCAAAAGCCTGCTCCCGCCTGGGTGAGGCGGGAGAGAGTGTCAGACTCTTACTGACTAAAAACCATCCCGTTCCTTCTCCTGCAAGTCGAGCCGTAGCCCCGGTTACCCGTTAGGTTCTCCGCGACTAGATTATGGTCTAGAATGCCATGTATATAGGTTAGTTTTTATCCTACTAGAACGCGGGCGATGTTGCTGGCAGGATTTAATAAAACACTAGCTGAGCACGCGACTTTATCCACGTGGAATAGTGATTCACAACTCCTCAACCGTAGTTGATAGAATAATATGTAAGTATATGTTGACCCAACTTGTTAATAATATTCATGCAAAATTTGAAATAAATTCATGCAGCACTTTTTGATTTCATCCCGGATATACATACAGACAAACATTCTAAAAACTATACTTTTAGTTTCGGTATCGACTGTAGATCACAATCAAAGCATTGTATAAAAAAAATCGATGTACCTACAGTTTTCACTACTTTCGTATGATTTTATTATATGTATAGAAGATATTGTTTCATGTAGGTATTACTCACCCGCTTTTCAGTGGGATAAAAATTAGCCAATGTATTGTTCTAATCTACCCCTGTTGTAATTGGGTAGTTTCCTTAATCAAAAAAAAAAAAAAATATTTCGACTGTTCAATACAATAAAATATTAAAAAATGATCATATTTTCATTAATTGATTTCGAAACCAACTTAATTTTAGTATTATCCCAGCAATTTTTAAAGAAATAACTATGCTGTTTGACGCTAAAAAACGTGACGTCACAATACATAATCTCGTACAAAATTCATAGAAAACTGTCTCGTTTTTGACAGTTCGAAAAAAGTATTGAATTTGACTAGTTGGCAAGTACCGAATTCCATTCCGATCCCTTCAGGCGTTTTGACGTGTAGTAAAAAAGCGAACAAAATTTATAATCTAGTAGGATGTAGGTATTTTTTTCAATACTTTAGTAAAACTGTGGAATGATCAGTCGTCGAGGGTATTTTCGAACCGATACGATCTTCAAATGTTCAAGAAAAGAGCGTATATTCCTTCTAAAAATACCGCCAATGTACCCGTTTCTAAAAAAATACCGCCGATGTACCCGTGACTGAACCTAACGGGTAACCGGGGCTCCGACTCGACGTGCAGGAGAAGGAACGAGGTGGTTTTTAGTCAGTAAGAGTCTGACACTCCCTCCCGCCTCACCCAGGCAGGAGCAATAACTAGATGATGTTCGCCCCTTAAAAAAAATGTACCCTTGACTGCTCTGGTGTTCCGGGTGGCCATGGGCGGCGTTGATCGCTTACCAGGCTTCAAGTCTGCTATTACAATAGTGTCAGAATAATCCATCATTGATTTTAAAATTGTTGATTTTGACAAGTTTGGTAATCTACTAATGTAATGGCGTCATTATGACTTTCCTAGTGGTCAATCACTGACCATTGAAAGTAATGACATAAAATGGTAATCTCTTACGTACAGGTACTTCAGATTGCATATAACACTGATAGATATTTTGTAAAATAAAATATAAATATGGCATGAATAAATGTTCAAGTAGTCGTTTTTCGAATCATATTTTTTTTTACAATATAAGCCGGTAAACCAGCAGACGGATCACCTGATGGTAAGCAATCGGCGCCGCCCATGGACACTCGAAACACCAAGGCGTTACAAGTGCGTTACCGGTCTTTTGGGAATTGAGAATTTGACGACTGTGGAGGATTCGGGGATTCGGGAGACGGGGACTAGGGAGGGGGGTAATTGGGCCTCCGGTAACCTCACTCACACGATGAAACACAACGCAAGCGTTGTTTCACGTCGGTTTTCTGTAAGGCCGTGGTATCACTCCGGTCGAGCCGGCCCATTCGTGCCGCTGCCGAAGCATGGCTCTCCGACACTTAAAAAATTTTATTTGTACTACAAAGTTATAATATAATAATCGCAATAAGCAAACTCATTCTACTACAATAGGGTAGTTGCTTAATTTTTTTTAATGTCCGTCTGGTAGATTAATTAAAACATTAGACACGTATTTTTTCTTTTCTCACAAAATTAAATACTTTCGACGATATATTAAACTGTCAAACACCACCGGTGACCGCAACCTATTGTTCTATAATTATGTCTATAATGACGGTACTCGACGAGTTAATCTGAAATATCGTGTGACGTCATAATGCGCTACAGTTTGTAGGGTATAGTCACGTAACGACCTCTCACTCCTAAACTTAAGTCCATTTTATCTAAGTATTGTAACTATATACGAGAAAAAAAAATACGTGTCTAATATTATTTTATTATCTAACTGACGGACTGATTAGATTTTTAATTTTCATTCCCTGGCAACTACCCTATTTCATTACGAGACCAGTGACCGATCAATGATCGACTATTATGAATTTAGCAGTATCTATGGAACTTTTGGCAAAATGACATGATGCGATCGTGTCGAAATGACATTACAATAATTGGCTAGTTTCCTAGGTTTAAAATAAATTGTTTCGACTTTTCAAAGCAAGAAATTGACTGCACGGTTGGTGCGGTGGCTGGAGAACCGGCTGCCGTGCAACGTGTCGCGGGTTCGATTTCCGCACGGAACAACACTTTGTGTGAACCACAAATTGTTGTTTCGGGTCTGGGTGTCATTGTGTATGTGAACTTGTATGTTTGTAAACGCACCCACGGCACAGGAGTAAATCATAATGTGGGTCAACGTTTTTAAAAAAAAAATTAAAAAAAAACGTAGGTACTCTCATCCATTGATTTGACAATGTATGTAGGTACCTACTTTTGTATTTTTTCTCGCTAATTTTAAGGAAATAAGTATGCTATTTGACGCAGAAATATGATGACGTCATAAGTTGCGGTCCAATACAAAAATCATAGAATTAACCCTCTGCAACTGACGTGGTTAAATTGTTACAATTCAACTGAGGTGTATATTATACCAGACACCATTTCAACAGCAAATATTTTTGTAGAATTAAAGTATAGCGAGCACTATACAGTAAGGTACTCGCAGCAGTGATGCTCGTATTTGAAAAATGACGGTATAACACGTGATTTTGTATTTCGCAGTGTCTGTGGCTCTACACGTCAGCTGCAGACGGTGTAGGTATCGTTTTTGACATTTCAATAAAAGTATTGATTTTGACTAACTATCAACTACCTACCGTAATACTTATAAAATTGCAGATTTGAGGCCCAGGTGATCTGTCTGCTCGTTTGCCTCCTAAAATGTCGCGGAGAACCTAACGGGTAACCGAGGCTCCGGCTCGACGTGCAGGAGAAGGAACGGGGTGGTTTTTAGTCAGTAAGAGTCTGACACTCCCTTCCGCCTCACGCAGGCGGGAGCAGTCATTCGATGATTAACCCCCCTTAAAAAAATACCATACAAAATGATCTTACCTCGTCTTCTTCACTGCTCACTCCCTCAAAAACTAGTTGCAATGTCACGTCTACAGTTTCTAATAATTCTTCCAAAAACGTTGGATATTTTTCTTCCTCATGCAATTTGTCTATTAATTCACCTAGCACCTGTAAATTAATATAATTCATTTCCGAGTGGTCGCAAGTGCGGTAGGCAGAGGTGTACATTACAGCACTTAATGCCACTGTACAATGTAACACCCACTTTTCTCTATTTATGTTATGAGTCCCATTTAATAGTGGGTGAGCCTATTACCATATACCGGGCACATTTGCAGACTCCGTCTTGCTACTGAGAGATTTTTTAAAAACCTATTATTACTTTGCCCGACCCGGGAATCGAACCCGAGACCCCTTGCCCGGCAGTCGCACTCGCACCCGGCCAAGAGGCAGTCATTTATTACATTTATAATATTAGTTTAGTAAAATGTAACTATCCAATTTATTGTCTACTCGAACTACCTCCTATAAAACAAAATATAATAAAATGGCTTTGCAATCAATAAATGTCGATAGCATCGACGTCTTACCCGATGATCGATAGAAAAAAATCATAATAGGGTAGACGACTAATTTTTATTTTAATGTCCGTCTGGTAGATTATTTTAAAACATTAGACGGGTATTTTTTTTCTTTTTCATAGCAACCGGGTCCTTAATACAGTGTCGTTGAATAAACGAACTTATTGAATCAAAGCTGAATACGCTGATGTCTCTTCAACGGAATTAACGTTGATCTTGTACAAATCAACTTATTAAATTCGTCAACAAGACAACGACAGTATTGTCGATGTGTATTTTTTATTTTCTTACGGAACTTGTTTAAAACGATAAACATTTTAACGATACCCTGTCAATATATATGTGAAAATATAATGTAGGTATGTACCTAAGGAAAAATAGGCAATTGTTTGAAAAAAGAAGCGATAGACACAATGTTAATACTAGAGGCAAAAATAAGTTTTTTTTTTGTTTTTTATTTCAATTAGGCCAGAAAGGCACTTTTTAACGTCAAAATTTTTTTATTAAAAGTGAAGCTATTTGCTCATTCCAAGGTGTAGATTCCTATGGAGAAGAACGAGAAAGAAATTCCATAGGTTACTCTTTTTCAATCAGGGTCACAATACAATTTACTAGTTACATAGTTTTGCTGTTTGGATTGTGCGAGAACAATGTAACACTAAAATCCAGTCAAAGTGATCAAATCTAAGTTAGCTATACCGCAATTCAGACTGTCCAAGGTACAGGAATCCTTTATGGGGATAGGTATTAAATGCTATAATAAAATACCAAATAGCATACTAGATCTCAATGAAAGTAAATTTAAAACATATATTAAGCGCGAATTATGTAAACAAGCTTACTACACACTGACAGATTATCTTGAAGATAAGAATGCTTGGCAGCCTGTTGGTTCGGCTCCACCGGACAATACTCAAATGTAGTCAGTAGTTAGATTCCAATAGTAGGTAATTTAATAATTTAATATACTTTAATTCTAATGTAGACAATCTAGTTTCCTTATGGCATCGAGCATTTCTTATTTTATCAACCGACTTCAAAAATAAGGAGGAGGTTCTTAATTCGACTGTATTTTTTTTTATGTTTGTTACCTGATTAGTCGAAGACGTCTGGACCGATTATAAAATTTTTTACATAACATAACATCACGCCTTTTATCCCCGAAGGGGTAGGCAGAGGTGTACACAGAAGCAACACCCATTTTTTCACTATTTATGTTATGAGTCCCATGTAATAGTTTTTTTTTTGTTTGAAAGGGTATGTTTGTCATTTGGTCCCATTGTCATGAAGTCAGGATCTGATGATGGAATCCCAGGGAAACCGAGGGGAACTTTTAAAAATTGTATTGGGACTAGTGCATTTGTTAATTTTTTCGTTAAGTATTTAAAACCACTACAATCTGATAAAGGTCTGAAGCTGATCTGATGATGGAACCGAAAGGCAGTCGAGGGAACTCCTCAACGGTTAACAGTAGCTACATTGTGTTTGGGTTTGATTAATTTGTATTGATGAGGACTTTATACCTAGGTGGTATGTGATTGCCAATAAGGGTCTGATGATGAAGTACTACCATAGTTGAGGGAACTCCTCAACGGTTAACAGTAGCTATCTTGTGTTTGAGTTTGATTAATTTGTATTGATGAGAACTTTACGACTAGGTGTGGTGTGGTAGTCACTAAATGTCCAATGATGAAGTAGTATGATAGCTAAGAGAACAATGGTTAACAGTACCTACCTGGTGTTTGTGCTTGAATAAAATGTATTGATGAAAACTGCATCGATGTGGATTGCGTGGATTAAGTGTGGGAGAGCCATGCTTCGGCACGAATGGGCCGGCTCGACCGCAGTGATACCACAGCCTCACAGAAAACCGACGTGAAGCAACGCTTGCATTGTGTTTCGTCGTGTGAGTGAGGTTACCGGAGGCCCAATTACCTTCCCCTTCCCCAATTTCCCCAATCCCTGAATCCCCAACGATCCTCAAACTCCTAATCCCCAAAAAGCCGGTGACGCACTTGTAACGCCTCTGGTGTTCCAGATGTCCATGGGCGACGCCGATTGCTTACCATCAGGTGATCCGTCTGCTCGTTTACCGGCTTATGGCATAAAAAAAAATAAAAAAATACCTCCTTACATATCCCTTACACACCCACTGATAGGTGAGAAGTCGACGTAGAAGTAGATGTTTTATTAAAACATCAAGTTGCGATCAATGGTAACTAGTATTAAATATTTAATAATTTCCTTACCTGTGCAATTTCGCCTGTAATGTCTCTGGTTGATGCCACCAGAGGGCACTGCAGTAGATAATGGAATAAACAACTGCCTGACTGGTTTAACCAAGATCCTGATAGCTGTAACGCTAAAAATAAATAAAAATAGCCAGTTAAACTATTGTCACGCTTGTTTCCCATTGGGGTAGGCGGAGAAAATAGAACGTTAACTCGTCGAGTACCGGTTTTGTAGACACAATTATAGAACAATAGGTTGCGGTCACCGGTGACCGCTTGGTGTTTGACAGTTTAAATGCCAAGATCACGATCCTGGCATACCTCTTTCGCATCATCGACATTTACCAATTTTTTCATGCATGCTCGACGAGACAAGCTTTCGCCCGCGGCTTTACTTGCGCTCTTTTATTTAATAGTTAAGAACAGATAAGAAAAATGAATCATGATATTTTATTAGTCAAAAATAGTCCGCGTACCATTTTGTAGCTTCCTTCCTTGAATACTGTGAAATGATACGCCCATTTAAGGGAAGTTGGTTACATAGAGGCAAAAGTAGCTTATGTCATTCACCATCCCTTCGACTATCTCGATTTAAAAATCACGTCTTTTCGTCGCTCCGTTTTGCCGTGAAAGACGGACAAACAAATAGACACACACACTCTCATATCACACTAATACCATAAATATGAAAGTTTCCTTGTTTTCGTTTTGTTTGTCCGTCAATCACGATAAAACTACTGAACGAATTTTGATGAATTGGTATCATCATCATCAACAGCCTATAAATGCCCACTGCTGAGCAAAGCCTCCTTCCTCACGGAGAAGGTTTGAGCATTAATCACCACGCTTGCGGGTTGCCAATGCGGGTTGGCGATTTCAAACTTATAATTAGAAATTATAAGTCCAGGTTTCCTCACGATGTTTTTCCTTCACCGTTTGTCAGTATAAATAATCTTAGAAAGTACATATAACTCGGAAAAAGTCACATTGGTACTTGCCGTTGGTAGGTTTCGAGCCCGCACCCTCATGCATGAGAAGCGGGCGTCTCAAACCTCCGGGCCACCACGACACTGAACTGACTGAATTGGTATACAGGCAGGGTATGGGCTGACTTAGGTGATAGAATGCTTTTTACCCCGATTAAATGCTCCCAATAGATAAAACAGGAATCATATTCTGAGCCGACGAAGTCACGGGCAATAGCTAGTTCTCTAGTTTATAATATAGTAGGACTTACCACTCCGATTACTTCTTTGTGAATCGCTTCTGTAGCCCGAATCAGAAGAATAACTGTCGCAAGACATTCTTCTATTTGGTCTTCTAACAAAATTCTTTACTTTGTTAAACTCTTCAAGCACTTTATACGAAATTATTTCATCTGAATCATAATCGTCTTCGGTTATTTTATATTCTTCTGCTAAATCGTTATTTTCAAGAGGATTTGTGTCGTTTGGACCGAAATTTTCGTTGGTTTTCGCCGAAATTGCATTTTCGGATATGTTTTTTGGGTTATCTGCTCCGAAATCTGTATTTTGAACTATATTTGTATTAACACTTTCAGTTAAATCTCTATTTTGAGAAAACATTGTGTGGTTTTCTTCAAAGTTGTCATTGTTTTTATCCAAAATCACGTCTGCGTGCGCATTCATCGAATTATTTTCAGTTACGTCTCTAAATTGATGAAGATTTGTATTGTTACATTCAGTAATTTCATTATTTTTCTCAGTATTTTCTAAAATTACTTTCGAATATATGTTTTTAGCATTCTCAGCATCTATATCCATATTGATTACGTTACTATCATGAAAATTCTGCATTTCAGTAAAATAGTCATCAATATTTTGAGAATATTGACTGTGGTTGGCAAGTATTTCTTTATTATTATCATAGTCTTTATTATTATCATTTACAGTAAATATATCGTTATTTTCTGGTCTTATTAAGTCGTTTGCATTGGTATTTTCATTTAGATTATTATTTTTAACTGTATTATTAATAGTTTCTTTTGTAATAGTATTATTGCCGTCCCAGAATTCGTAGTTATTGCGATTATTCTCATTTATTCTATCTTTTCCATTTACTGTTTCAATTTTATCTGTACTTTGAACATTATTGGGAATCGAAGTATTAATTTTACTAGGTGCAAAACTTTTGTACAAGTATTGTTGTGGAATTGAAACATTATTTTGACTTTGACTGTAATGTGTATAATTTTGACTGAACCCGTAAACAGAATATATTTGAGTTTTCTGTGAGTCATAAAATGTTGCGTCTGTGTTTTCAGTGATATCTTTATCTCCAAGTTTTGGATCATTTTGATATTTTTCTACGAGTTGCATTTCAGCGTTAAAGTTAAAGCTTACATTTGTAGTAATATCTTTAGGCTCATTTCTATCCTGAATTATTAAGTTTTTATGTACTGTTTGATCAGTTTCAGCAGTTTTTACAGTGTCTGAATTAGTTTTAGTTATATTATCAGCGGTACACTGTGAGCTTTCGTAGAAGGTTGTTTGTGAATTATTTTCAGAACTCTGAATTGGCTGAAAAGAAAAGAAATGCTTTAAGATATGCCTCGAGATACCTTGTAATTCTTACCTGTAGAATAAAATTGACAGTTGCCAATTCTAAGTCCATACTATTGCAATTGTCAAATATTCAAAGTTATAATCAAAATATAAATCAAATATCAATAACTGTTGATACGAAAACCATAGACAACTCGGTCTATCACGTTGGAAAATAGAAACACTACAATCCAATCATTATTTTTATCTAAACCCTTGACCGACCGGTGGACAAAACTCACTACTGAGTGGAGCCTAGTCATCGTTAATAGACGTGGCAGTAGACCTAGAAAAAGAGCCGCGGCGTTTTTAAGGGGGGAATATCATCCAATGACTTCTTCCGCCCGGGTGAGGCGAGAGAGTATCAGACTCTTACTGACAAAAAACCACCCCGTTCCTACTCCTGCACTTCGAGCCGGAGCCCCGGTTACCCGTTAAGTCTTCCAGACGTCTCCTTTGGGACATACAGTACCAACAACAATCGTCAAATCCCTTACCTGGCTTCTATCATCAATAATGATCTGATGACCAATGATTTCTTCATCAAAATCCTTTAATATAGTTTGACTACCATCCAAACCATCGTCATCCATATTAAAATCGTCACTACAAACGGTAACATCATCATCATCATCATCCATTTTGTTCTCAACTTTAGATTTTAATTTTTGTAAAAATTCTACTGTAGTTATATTTTTTGGTTTCGACTTTATTATAGCTAATGCTGTCGCTAAACGATGTTTTTGGTAAATGTGATTTGCTGTGAAAATGGAAAAATTTCATCAACAGCCTATAAATGCCCGCTGCTGAGCAAGGCTTTTCTCACACCGAGAAGGTTTGAGCAATTATCACCACGCTTGCTCAATGCGGGTTGGCGATTTCAAATTTATAATTAAATTAGAAATTATAAGCCCAGGTTTCCTCACGATGTTTTCCTTCACCGTTTGTCAATGGTGTCTAGATAATCTTAGACAGTACATATAACTCGGACAAAGTCACATTGGTACTTGCCGTTGGTAGGTTTCGAACCCGCACCCTCATGCATGAGAAGCAAGAAGAAAAATTCAAAAGGAAATAAAAATGAGACACTAATGAGTTATGGCTGTCTTCGTCAACCACTGCTTAACTGCACGTTTAACGCTTTAGAGTCCACGGTTGGTGCGGTGGCTGGACAACCGGCTGCCGCGCAACGTGTCGCGGATTATATTCCCGCACGGAACAACTCTTTGTGTGATCCACAAATTGTTATTCCAGGTCTGGGTGTCATGTGTGTGTGAACTTGGATGTTTGTAAACGCACCCACGACACAGGAGAAAATACTAGCGTGGCGCAACGTTTTTAAAAATAAATAAAGTCGCAGGTCTGCAGGAAGAAATCCCTTAAGGGATATGCAGTACCTATGTACCTCATGTTTATAATGTGTTGTCCTGTGTAATATTGTCTGTGTGGTGTAGGTACATAAATTGATAAATAAATAAATAAATAAATAAAAAAACTATCATACATAATATCATGCGTTTTATCCCCGAAAGAGTAGGCAGAAGTACACATTACGGCACTTAATACCACTGTACAATGTAGCACCCACTTTTCACTGTTTATGTTATGAGTCCCATGTAATAGGGGGTGAGCATATTGCCATGTACCAGGCACATTTCCGGACTCCGTGCTACTACTGAGAATTTTTTAAAACCCAGTAATTCTTTCCCCGACCCGGGAATCGAACCGAGACCCCTTGTCCGGCAGTCGCACTTGCGACTACTCGGCCAACGAGCTTTTTGCACTGTTAGGCGTCACTTACCACAAGGCTAGACAGTGGCCAAACGTAGACCCGTTACATGAGGTATAAAAAACGTATAGGTTGACGAAAACTAAAATGTCATTACAATTAAAAAAAAAACCGTTGCCCCACACTAGGATTTTCTCATGTGTCGTGTGTGCGTTTACAAACATACAAGTTCACATACACATGACACACAGACCCGGAACAACAATTTGTGGATCACACAAAGAGTTGTTCCGTGCGGGAATCTAACCCGTGACACGTTGCGTCAATACGTCACCTATCTTAACTTAGGTGTCCCTTTAACTTTTATAGGATTCTACACCTCTGTATATATACAGTAAAATAGTTGATAATAATTATATGTATTGATTATGATAATTATTATATTTATTTATTTTGTATTTGTTGACGTTTCAAAAGTACCAAACTATGGTTTAATTGAAATAAATGCTTTGACTTTGACTTTGACTTTGACTTTGACTTATGTCACTAACCCAAGTGTTTTGTCCTTTCAGCTACTAACAACTAAAAACTACCACAATGTTAATTTCGACGGTTCATTAAACTACCGTCACCACTGGACACTGGCAGTATAGACGACAAGATCATTTTGGAGACTCGTTTGCCAAAGAGGAAAAAAAAAAACGTTTATAGGAGAGGTTGCTCAAAACGGGCACTAATCTCGCGACAAGCTTTTATACCTTTTAAATTAAAGAGCATTTTTATGGTTCATGCAAAAACGTGTATACAAAGTTTCAACTCGATCATAGAAAATTTAGTTTCAAGATTCCACTTCATACACACACATACATACATACATTGCAAGTTAAATATAAGCTTGTAATAAAGACATTTATTATTTAATTTGTCATCGCTATTGGAAGATTAAGTTAGGCGAATTTTTTTCGGTTTATCGAATATAATCTCAGTATTAGCAAGGCGACTGAAATTGTGTCCGGTGTCCGGTGTATGAATATGTTAATAAGATCCTGTGATCTGTGTATTGTACCTATTAACTTGTGCTACTAGGTACAATAATAATAATGTTACGGAAAGTAAAAAATGCACATCGATCAGTTTTCACTACGAAATCACATCGTTGGTCTCACAAATATGTTTATCAAAATTTCACTCACCATAATCATCGAAACTCATGTTTTATCAATTTCCAATGCAATAAACATGTTAAATTGTCATTTCATTTTAAATAGAATTAAATACGCGGATTAAAAGTTAATAAACAAAAAAAATTTCGCGCCACGGTACCATAGACATTTTGATTTTTTTATTCGCTACGAAAGGGACAAGTCATATTGTGCCTATTAAAAAAAACAATTAAAAAAACAAACATAAATTGTTAAAGGGTTCTAATAAATCTATAGGGCTACAAAAATATTTTCGTTTTAACCTAGGCTGGTTTTTATTAATCAGCACCGTACTACCCTACATTAGAGTTAAATTAAATCCAAAAACCTGAACTTGATACTTAAATATATAATTATTTTAGCAATGAAAAACATTCAAACGTTGCATTATGTCTACATTATTAAACTTATTTAAGCTTATATAAAAAAAAACACAAAAATGATCATTAGGTATTTGCAGCAAAAAGTTTGCATATCACCAAAACCTTTTTGTTTAGGTAGATACGACATAGATTTTTCAGGTACGCTGATTGCATGACAAGTCACAATATGCCGGAGATTTGTCACAACCATGTCAAAATATAGATGAAAAACCAAAATAATAACAAAATATAACAACAAAATGTATTTTATAGCATTATCAACGGTACCGAATGGCGCTGTACACAATATTGTTTGGTCTAAGTCTTTTTATGATAGCCCTGGTCGTTGCTATTATAAGAAAAATGTTCTTTCATTGGAAAGAGGAACATAAAATTGAAAGAATGACCATAACCACCGTTCAGAGACCCGGTTAGTATTATAATATATCTTTTTTAACTGTTACCCACAGTTTTGCCCGCGTTATAAGAAAAAGTAGTCTACTAAGTTGGTACTTATTTATTTTATTTGTTCATTTATCATCACACTTACATCTGGAAGTCCACTCTGCAGTCACAAAAAAACTAATAATAAAGAACCATAAATAATTCTTTTATAAACTAGGTACATTAAAAAAAAATCGCGGCTTCAACCCTTCTTTTAGAAGTCGACTTCGGTCGGACCAAAATCGGTTTAAGAAGAAGCTCTCGATTCGACAGTACCTATAACTTTTTAACAATGTTTGCTTTTTGCTTTTATTATTTCTGTGCCATTGATGCTTGTAGATCATACCTAGGTAGATTCTAGAAGAATCTAGAATATAGATATGTAAGTATGCATGTAGGTACTTACGTACGTTTATATACGCGTGATTAGCGAGATAATTGGATAAAAAAATAGATTGGCTGGGTACAGCCCGGTAGAAAGTAAAATCGGTAGATTTTGATGTGAAATTCAGAAAAATGTTTGTTACAGTTAAGAGAAACTGTTAGAATATGTATTCAAAAACTAACCTCTAAAAAAGAGGGGTCGATGTCGGTTTTTTAAACATAGTTTAAAAAAGAATTATAATATCATTATGTCAAGGATTAAGAATTTTTTTTCCAGTTTAAGATTTATTTATTTATATTTAAACATTACATTTATCATCACAGGCACACTTAATACCATAAATGTAGTAACACATTATAAGTAAACTTATTACACAATATCCCCTAATAACTGTAAAATAATTTAGACACAGAAAAACAAAAGAAGATAAGCACATAGAACATTAATTAAACTTATAGGCTAATACATTTCCACAAAAATATCCCTAATAAACGTAAATAACTTTAGTAATAACAAATACTTATATTTTTAAAATCTATGTTCCTATGTTCCTATTTTTAAAATCTAGGTTCCTATTTTAAAATAAGTTGCCTACATTAATTTATTTTTTCCAGCCGTCAGTACGTTGATAATGATAGAAAAATGCGTGTTTAAAAAACGCACATTTGCAGACCATATCATAATTTACGATGTCATCAGTAAAAGCGATATCAGTCTAACGAAAAACTTTAAAAAATGAAGATACATAGCTTTTGTAATATTAAGTACTTTTTTTTTATTAAATCAAATCAATTGTAAATAGTTCGCCCTTAATACATAATTTTACGTTGATAACTTTTATTTTATTTGTAAAATTTGCTATTTTATTTATTTAGATTTACCTACACACGCCTTAAAATATAAAAATATAATTTCCTCTTTGGTTGTAGGTACATCGACGCTTTTACATTATCTGTGGTAGAAAAGAAACAGCGCCGGTTAGCGCATGCGTAATGAACGTGATTTAGGCGCGCGAACTTTTTTATTGGTTTACCTGCACTATTAATTTATTTATTGTTAACTTTATAAGAATACATACATTTTACTTATTTAGACAAAGGACTAGGCAAATTAATCTCTTAACATCATAATCATAATCTTCATATTTCAGCTGTGGATTATTTACCTATTGATATTTTTATTTTAATACCTACCACGACACGGTGGCAAAAAAGCGATAGGCCCACCTGATGGTAAACGGTTACCGTGGCCTATGTAATAATAATTACACTACATTAGAAGGAATTCAATTAAACTCCATTTTAACTCGTCGAGTACCGTCATTATAGACACAATTATAGAACAATAGGTTGCGGTCACCGGTGACCGCTTGGTGTTTGACAGTTTAATGCATAACTGGGTCATTTGTCAGAGAGCGCTGCTGCCCGAACTCTGTCAAATGTGTAGTTCACAGAAATATTAAAATATATCTGTGGTGTAGTTCCTCAGCCGGGTATACGACACCCGCGGGAAGAGCAGG